TTTTTTTCTTTGTTTTTGTGCTGTTTCTTATGTTTTTTTTTGTTCTTCTCTTTTTTTTTTTTTTTTTTTTTTTTTTTCGTTGACCAAATGGTGGAGTAAAGCGCTTATCAGAGTTTCCCTGCCAGACGGTCCACCCCCCTTTGCGCACACAGAAGGGAATAGGACGGGGGGGAGAGAATACTTCCACCACGGAAGCGAAAACGGGAAATAAGAACCCCCCCCTCCTTCTCGCTATTCCACATGCACCCAGACGGACAAACGGCATATGTCCCCATGTGCATCCCACGAGATAAACATCGCCGTGTCCACTCCGGGTTAAGTGGCGCACCCTCATTGAAGAAGCACGTCTGTTCCTGCTGTATATATTTTTTCTTTTTTCTTTTTTTTTTTTTCTATGAAGGGGGGAAGTGAACAGGTGGTAACGAGGTGGGTGGTAACCAGGCCTGCTCTAATCAGCCGTGTTGTAATCAGGCAGTTAGTGCACGCTTAGATGGATCCCCCTCCCCCCTTTGCTCCTTCTTGATGCATCTCAATACTTGGAACCGCAGCTTATGTTTGTCGTTCGTTTTGAAAGGGTCCATATATTGGCTGGGGGGGCAAGGGGGATCCCTCTGGAGTTCAGTACAACGTTGGTGAGTAAGGAAGCTGAGGGAATATATCCCCTTGAGAAAATTCATCCAAGAAGGAAAAAAAAAAAGATAAGGGGAGCAGTAAAAGGGGGGCGGCAAAAGGAATTGTTCTGGTGTGATGAAGTGTCGATTACATTGCCAAGTGGCCACCGTTTCTTCCCTTTCGACGGTTCCCCTGTTCGCCCACTCGATTGCAATTTCGGCGCACTCTTACACAACCCACTGTTCTTGATTTAAAAAAAAAAAAAAAAAAGGCATAACGGGACGCATGGTGGAGTGGACCTCCCATGTGTATTCCAAGTGTGGTCCAAATGTGTTCCAAATGTATTCTCCTCCGCCCACCCCAACGACATTGGCTCCATTTCCACTTCTCATTAGGCAGTCAAATCGTTAAAGAGAGCATTATTTTATATCTCTTGTGGGTCTATTCTGCCAACATTTCATTTATAGGGCAATTTGTAGGGAAATTTTTTTTTTTTTTTTTATACTTTGGATCATGTCCCTGTTGCGACACAACGTGCATGCTCAAGCGTGGAACCCTCCCGCGTGTGTAGAGTCCACTTTGCCACGGTGTGGCCTCTGCGTTATGTCCCACTGGCCCATTTGACTGGCATTCACAACGCTTGGTTTCTTCGTCGTTTGGTCTCTTCACCTGTTCGTCTCTTCATCTCTTCGCTGCTTCACCCCCTCGCCTCCTCATCAAATGGCCGCGCGCACCAAGGGGACGCAACCGTTGCGCCCCCGCGCAGGCACGTTCATATGGATCGGCTGCCTCCTCCTCCTGGTCACACAAAATGGCACAGCGAAACGCACAAGGGGGGGCCACACACTGCCTTTGTTACACTCAGAAGGGAGCCCTGTCCCACGAGGAAAAAAAACGAGCAACCTCTTTATCAGGTGTAGCGGGGTGGGAAGAAGCAGGGGCAGCTCGGCGCCCCCAAGCGAGAGCCCAATCAATCGAAGCAGATCATTCAGAGTGAAGGGAAGTACGAAGGATCAGCCGATGAAACTGTGCACAGAACAATACGACGTCGGGATTCTGGGGTGCGGAGTCGGGGGACACGCTGCAGCAATTAACGCAATGGAGAGAGGATTAAAAGTCATCATTTTCACAGGAGACCAAGACAGTATCGGAGGGACCTGTGTTAACGTTGGATGCATTCCGAGCAAGTCACTGCTATACGCAACGGGTAAGTACCGAGAGTTAAAGAATCTAGCCAAACTGTATACATATGGCATTCACACCGACGCATTCAGCAAAAATGAAAAGAAAGATCCAGTGGAGAGAAACCAGTTACTAGCGGATAGTGTTCATATAGACATCGGAAAGTTAAAGGAATACACACAGAACGTTATTAACAAATTGAAGGGAGGAATTGAATACGGATTGAAAAATCAAAAATTTTGCAAAAATTCTGAACATGTGCAGGTAATTTATGAACGTGGTCATATAGTGGAAAAAAATATTATTAAGGGGGGGAAAAGTGGAAAGGAATACAAAGTGAAAAATATAATCATCGCAACAGGGTCCACTCCAAACGTCCCAGACAACATCGAAGTGGATGAAAGAACTGTTTTTACTAGTGATCAGGCAGTGAAGTTGGAAGGATTGCAGAAATATATGGGTATAATCGGCATGGGAATAATAGGAATTGAATTCACCGATATTTACACAGCCCTGGGGTCGGAAGTTGTCTCCTTTGATTACTCCCCTCAGTTGTTACCATTGCTGGATGCAGACGTGGCAGGCTACTTCGATCGCGTGTTTATTAAGTCCAAGCCGATGCGTGTGCACCTGAACACGCGCATTGAGTATGTGCGTGCGGATAGGGGCGGCCAGCAAGTCATCATCGGGCACAGTGAGAGAAACAGCGCGGAGGAGCCCACCTCAGATCATACCAACAATGAGATCAGGGAAACACGTGTCGACAGCTGCCTAGTGGCTATTGGGAGGAAACCCAACACGAATAACCTGGGGCTAGAGCAGTTACAAATACAGACCAATAGAGGGTACGTGTCGGTGGACGAACACCTGAGGGTGCAGAAAGAAGACCAGGGGGTATATGATCATATATTTTGCATAGGGGATGCCAATGGGCGTCAGATGCTGGCACACACGGCGTCGCACCAAGCACTGAAGGTGGTAGATTGGATAACAGCCAAGGGGGAAGGGGAACACATAAGTGTCCACTCGAACCGTTCCCACAGCGAGTGGGCTAGTAAACCGATCATCTATAGGAACATCCCCTCGGTGTGCTACACCACCCCTGAATTGGCATTCGTGGGCCTCACAGAGAAGGAAGCGAAAAAGTTACACCCCCCAGAGAACGTCGGTACAGAGATTTCATTTTATAAGGCGAACTCTAAAGTGCTCTGTGAACATAACGACGTCAGCTTTGCGAAGGACTGGAAAAATAATCCATACAACAAGGGAAGGTACAACTGTGTCGACAATACCAGTGGCATGGTGAAAATTGTTTATCTAAAGGATAGCAAAGAGATTCTGGGCTTGTTCATCGTCGGTAGTTATGCTTCCATTTTGATTCACGAGGGCGTGTTGGCTTTGAATCTGAAGCTGTCCGCGATTGACTTGGCACACATGGTGCACTCGCACCCCACGATTAGCGAGGTCCTGGACACGGCCTTCAAGGCCATCGCGCGGGTGCGCACGCACTGAAGGGGGGGGCGTCGCGAAGCGGCGGGCAGAGGCGGAGAGAGGTGGTGACTGGTTGGATTGGCTAGACAGTCTGGATCGCCTCGACTCGCGCTGCTCACTTATACGTGTGACCCTTTTTGCTTCCCCTTCCAACTACTAACTTGCTTGCGCGTCGCTTCACTTAACCGTGCATCGCGTGAACCCGTTTGGCATGCCCCTACACATGCATGCACCACCTGCGAAGAGAGAGACCTCTTTGGCCAGAACGTCTCCGAGTGGGCGGCGGGTCGAAAAGTAGACTCAACGTTTAGGTAAAAGGTAGGGTCAAAAGGTAGGGTCAAAAGGTAGGGTCAAAAGGTAGGGTCAAAAGGTAGGGTCAAAAAATGGGTTCAAAAAATGGGTTCAAAAAATGGGTTCAAAAGGTAGGTTCAAAAAATGGGTTCAAAAGGTAGGATCAAGCTGATGGCCCAAGAGGTATGGCAAGACGACGGCCCACAAATCGCTTTGCCCCCCTCCCCGCTTCTCCGCTTGACAAAGCTACACATTGCAGGGCTTAAAAATGTTAAAGTTGTCACTGGAGGTGGATACGACGACCCCTGGGTGGAGGGGGTGGAACTTGGCATCGGTGATGAACTTCTGGTTTCGATGTTCGAAGAGAAGCTGGTCAGGGTGCTTCGTCAGACCAAACTCTAACGACTCACTCTCAACAGAGAGGTCCCAAATGGAAATAGAGTTATCCAAGCTAGCAGCCAGCACCACGTAAGTATCACTTGGATTCCAAGAGACAGCCGAAATGGGTCTCCTATGGAATTTTAATTCAGCTACGGAAGTGGAAGTATTCCTTGTGTCCCAGATTTTAACAACAGAATCATCCCCCCCAGATGCAATCAAAAAGGGGACGTTCTCATTCCACGATATAACATTAACATCGGATGCATGTGCATCTGCTATTTGTATGTGTGTGGAGCTCCTCCCATCTGTATTGTTTTGACCCTTTTTTAAGTCTCGTGTGTCTACTATTGTTACACTTTTGTCTGAGGAGCACATGGCGAATACATGTCCGAACCCGTTTCCTCCTTTGATCCACTGGACATCCTCAATGCTGTGTCTACTTCGTCCTTTTGCCTGTCCTCCTTTTGCCTGTCCTCCTTTTGCCTGTCCTCCTTTTGCCTGTCCTCCTTTTGCCTTGGCTTCTTTTCCCTTTGCTTCTTCTCCCTTTCCGCCATTCTTTTCGTCGCTATGGTCCGTGCCAACCTCGATCTGCAACCGCTCATAAGTCCATTTATCGCTATTATCCGGAAGCCACAGGAAGAGGTTGCCATCGTTATCTCCACTTAGGAGCTTCGCCGCGTGAACGGGATTCCAGTCCAAACTAAACCCTTCAGTAGTGTGCCCGTCAAACACATGCAGTGGTTTTTTCACAACATCCTCACTGTATGGTCGATCATCGAGATGTCTTAGCTCGTCCGATAACTCATAAATATAGACGTTGCTGTCTTCACACCATGTGGCAATTAGGGAGTTGATTTTTTTGCAGGTCTTTACCCTGTTTAATCCTCCGTATGGGTGCTTGATCGCTTTGCACACGACATGTTCCTTCTTTCGCGCTCCACGCTGGGTGTGCACTCCGTTTGGGTTTCTTTTCCCTTTTCGATGGTTGCCTCGAGCGTTGGCGCCGTTCTCGTTGCAGGCGTCTCCCCCATTATCGCAATTACCATTGTTATTACCACTATCGCCCTTTCCATCGTTATCCTCCTCATCGCTATCCTCCTCATCACTATCCTCCTCATCACTATCGTCCTCATCGCTATCGTGGCCGCCCCCCTTCAGTCTGTTCAGGTTGTCCCACCGGAGGAGGTATATTTCATTTTGGCTCCCCTTGGCAGCTTGGCTCCCCGCCACGCAGGTGATCTGCAGGGGGTACGTTACGGGGGAGCAGCCCCCCTGATTGTGGCGCCCATGATTGTTAGGCCTCTTATCCTTGTCGTGCCCCTCCTTCTTGGCCTCCCCTATCGAGGGGTGCCCTCCACCGGGTCTGCCCAGAACGAAGTCGAGGGACAGGCAGGGCCAGGGGGTCACCGGGCTAAAGAGCATGTCATATGCTTCTTCATCCACGTCCAGTTCGTCATTCATTTTGCCAGCGCGGTATGGAGGTGGGCCGATGCGGAGGGAAGACGAGATGGGAAAGCCTTTCCTGTGCGCGCGCTCTGCACTTCGCCGTCCACTTCGTCACTTTACCGCTTCACCTCTTGTCCAATTCACCTGCTGAGTCAGTTCTCCCCCGTTACATTTATCTGGCCGAAGAAGAGACGCGAAGAAAAACGCTGTTCCATGGTTGTTGCCCCCCTTGACCTGCTCATAACATTGTCGGGAAAATAAAGCCACGGGATGGTTAAGTGGGGGAGGCCTTCAAATCAGCGAAAAGAAAAATAAGATAAAATAGAATAAAAAAAGAAAAAAGAAAGTATACCTATATATATCTGCTTCTTGGGGTTGCCTTCAATTTTTTTCGTCCGAAGGAGATTCGCAAGGAGCCACCACGTCGATAAACTCTCCTCCGCACTGGCAAGAAGGGACGCTCCAACGTGTTCATAGGGACATAACCATACATCGTAAAAAAAAAAAATAAATAAATAAAAAAAAGATGTCTCGCTATTCTTACGTTTAGGTATTTCTCCTTATTCTTACGTTTGGGACATGTTTTTTTTTTTTTTTTTTTTTTTCCCATTTCAGCTGCGTTGTTGAGTCGGGGCTCTCTCTGTCAGTCTCTTACTCCTGACTGCGCTCCGACCAACAGGGGGCACTGTTCCTCATGTCGGGGTAAGTCCAAGTCCAAGTCCAAACAAAAAATAAAGAGAACACGGACGCAGCACCAGCATGATTAGCAGTTTCCATAGACAGGGACGATTGAGTAGACGTAGCCAGGAAGCCGCCACATCACATTGCTCCTTTTTGTTGCCGGGGTAGCGCTCCAAGTGGAATCGACCCTTTGAAGTGTACTCCTCTCTGAAGTGGACCCTCCCAAGTGACTGCTTCCCCCTGTTGTAATGACCCAAGGGGGGTATATATAGTGCATATGGGAACACCCCGTAAAGAGACGTAGAAGAGTACAGAGCAAAAGAGGGAGAGTGGCGAGGCAGAATCGGCGCCCAACATAACTGCTACACAACCGAATGAACCTCCTCATCGGTGTGAGTGCCAGCGTCGCCGCCATCAAACTTGGCGAAGTGAATGAGCGGCTGAAGGAAAAGTGCGCTGAGAGCAACCTGGACGTGAAAATAAAATACGTGGCGACCTCTCTGGCATATGATGCATTTTTGAAGAAGGTGGATTTTGGGGAGAAGGTTTTTTTGGATAAGGACGAGTGGGCATGGCAGAAGAAGGGGGATGACATTTTGCATGTCGAGTTGAGAAAATGGGCCGACCTGTTTGTGATTTGCCCGATGGACGCGAACACACTGGCGTCTGTCTCCTCCGGGGCCTGCCCCAACCTCCTGGTGGGTGTGAGAAGTTGCGATCGCAGTGTAGCGATGAGTAGCGGCGTCTAGGGGCGTGTAGCGGCGTGTAGCGGCGCGGACAGCCACATAGCCGCTATAGGACAGCCACATAGCCGCTATAGGACAGCCACATAGCCTTTAGGACAGCCACCTAACCGTTCGCCCCTCTCACTTCCTCCCCGTTTGATTCGACTTCCCCCACAGACCTGCATCTGCCGATGCTGGGATTTCCGGAAACCCATGCTGGTGTTCCCTTGCATGAATACGCACATGTACGAGCACCCCATAACGCGGGAGCAGCTGAAGCGAATAACATCCTGGGGCGTGCGGGTCGTGGAGCCCGTGGAGAAGCTCCTCGCTTGCGGAGACTACGGTGAGGATGCCGCGGCGAAAATGGGCATGTCGCAGCGAAAGTGATCATGCCGTCGTTACGGCGTCCGTTCCGTTGCTGCGCATTCCTTTGCTAAGAGATCCTTTTCTTCACTTTACCCGCCTCGCCTTCTTTTCCCTTCAAAGGAATAGGAGCCTTGCCCCCCGTGGAGGACGTCGTTGGAGATATTGTGGAGTATATAAAAAAGCACCACCTGGAGGTGACGAAAAAAGCAATTCACAGTTCATAGCTGTGATAACTCCGCGCCGAGCACTCGGGAGGCGAAGTTTTATAATGTGTCTTTCTGGAATGGAGTGAGGTGATCATGGGATAGCAAGTGTGTCACACTTTGACGCGGTGAAAAGACACAGCAACTTCCTCCCCTCGCCCATGCATAACTTTCCACAGCATTGCTCTGCTCTGCTGGAATGGGGGGTGGGGGGGGCTAACCCCCCCCCTAGGACTTTCCGAGGCGAAGGTTATTGATGCGTGTGTCGAAGTCGGAGAGGCCGACGCTATCTACGTGTGTTTGGGGAAGTTCCCCCGGGGCGGGAATGTCATCCAATTTGGCATTCATCTGAATCCCCATTCCTTCTAAAACTTTGGTAACAAGCTCATCCTCTTCTGCAACCATCTCGGAGTCATAATCGAACGTCTCAAATAGATCATCTAGCATATCTTCTTTCAATGACACCTCGTTATTCTCCCTCTGATATTCATTTATGGATTTATTAAGGGAGGTTAGCTTCATGTATCCATTGACTCTCTTAATGATTCTATTGATCTCAGTCAGACTCCGTCCAAGTTGTTCCGACGATTTAACACTCTGTAGTTTTATCTTCATTGAAAAGAGATGTGACTTTAATTTGTTATACTTTCCGATGGTCTTCTTAATGCTGATGTAATCCTTTGCCAATGCTCTAACCGTGGAGATGCTTTCATTTCGTTTGGCATTTATCTTAATCTCTTTTTCAATCTTGTTCTGTTCATTTGTTAACTTAAAGATCTCCCGCTCTAACTCTCTAATCGATTTGTTGAGATTCCTCTTCTCATTGCGCAGGCATTCCTCCAGGTCTTTGGAGAAATACCCGCCCATGTTTTTTTTTGCTCGTTCGATGAGCAGGTATGGACGCTCCGCCAGGGGGAAAACGGAGTGGGAAGAGGCTAACAAAACGGGACGAGGGCGGGGCGACGGCAACGTTACGATGGAACAACCTTTTTGCAGATTTTGGCAAACCTGTGTGAACCATCGCGAGCTACACGGGGGCCCCAGTTGACCCCTCCGCCGCGCCGCTGCGCAGGAGCAGCCGGATTGTCCTGCGGGGATGTGATGCACAAAGAGAGGGGAGGGGCCCGTACACACACGCACTTTTGCCTTGGAGTAAAAATGGGCACCTTCCCAGGTTGGAAGCGTTTACCATTTGGGGCTCATATGGATATTCATATGAATGTGTATATATATTTTTTTTCTTTTTCTTCTTTTCTTTTCTTTTCCTTTTTTTTCCACCCCTGTCAGAGAGCTTGCAGCATCCGGGTGGGTCCAATTAACCGAACGTTCATTTCCACCGTGGGGTGCGCCTGTTTTTTTTTTCTTATTTTTTTTTTTTTTTTTTTTTTGCGCACGTTTGGTTACCTTCCCTGCACCCCTTGTGTATGCATTGCGTCACGAGTTATTCGGAACGACCTCATTTTTTTCTTCCCCTCCAGACGGCGGAGCGTAGGAGGAACCATTTGGCAGAACATAGGCGAACCGCTCTACAGAGGCGCTCGCGAGGGGAATATATCAAACTGGATTGGCGCCAAAATTGGACAAATCGAGTCCATCGCAGGGGGGTGTTCTCCCTCCTGTTTCGTTTTTTCCAACAAGGGGAGAGGGGCAAATCCTTGCCACGCAAAGGTGTGTGCACATGGGCGTGCATACGCATGCTGCATATACATGTCTTTGCACATGCATGTTGCATATACATGTCTGTGCATACCAATACGTGTATGTCATGCACTGGGGGACGTTCCTACTCGCATGCTTCACACCGGGGGTTGTCGCTACGTGTAGGCACAGCAAATGGACGACGCAACACAGGGAGAAGGAAGAAAAGGGGAACCATAAATGGGCTTCCTATCGCGGGGGGGGTGTATACATCGTGAGCCAGGGAAGCAGTTAACCTTCCGTTCTTTGCCAATCACAGCACATTTCATCCACACCTCGCCAGGCAAATGCGCAACTCGTAGAGTTATTCTCTCCCCCAAGGGGAGAGTCCCAGAAGGAAGAATCTGCCTCATCGTATAGGAATGCATTTCTCACGTTCCACGCGACAAGATCCTTCTTGGGGAGCCAAATGGTAACTGATTTTCTACCCGTGCTCTCTCATGTTATGCCTTATCGGATCGCCCCCTTTGTGTCCCCCTCGTGGTGACGCCTCGCCTTCTGTTCACTACTGGTCGGAGTAACTACGCTGGGTTTTACCCTATGTGTTTCCTTTTGTTTCTTTTCCCCTTCTCCCCTTTTACTTGCATGACCTGTTCTGTGAGTTTTCTTCCCCCGTGCTGCGTTGGGCTTAGGACAACGGGAGGGGGTGCTGGAGGAAGAGGGAGACGGGGCAGAGGAAGGGACAGACGATGCGGAGGAGGAATGTCCCCTCTTGGATTGGCCTCTCCTCCCGTGGTGGTCTCCCCCAATTGGGTCCCTTTGTCGGCGCTCCCCCTTCTCCCGACGCACCTCCCCCTTACATTTTGCCTCGTGAAGCATCAGCCTTTTTTGCCTTCTTCTCCGCAGCTCCTCCTGTTCCTTCTTCAGCTTCTCCCCCTTTATCTTTTTATTCCTCTTTTTTTCATCCTTCTTTCTCCTTCGGATCTGTTTGTGCAGGTGCGCTTCTCCGATGAGTTCCTGTTCTTTCCTTCTCTTACGTCTCCTTCTGGAGACAAGCCTCCATACCTTCACGAGCAGAAACTTAAACAATTTAATGGTCCGTTTTACTGTCCGATGGACAAAGCGACACGCGTCTTGTATTGTCCAAATGGCTAGAATGCGAATCTTCCGCAACGTGTAGAACCATTGCCTTTTAAGTAAGAACCCATTCAGTGGGTGCACGCTTGGGACGACAAAGATAACGACAAGGATGATGCAGAGGAGGAGAAAAAAAAATTTGACACTTATTGGATAACGGCTGAAGTGATTTGCAACTCTCCCTGTGTATTCCATTAGGACTCCTCTTCCAGTTGTATCATCGTCTTCTTCTTCTACTTCTTCTTCTTCGAGGAGCTGAAGCCTTTTTCGGTGCAGTTGGATAATAGCCTCAGGGACGTCGTCGAACTGGAGGGGTCTGTCCCAGAGGATCCTCTCTAGTGTTTCTCCTTCCTTTTCCCCGCGGCTCCCAAGGGAAAACGTGAAGTACTGCTCGATTGGTTCGTCCGGTTGGTTCGCTACGTTCGCTTCGATCGGTTCGCCCGTGTCTCCCCTGTCTTTATTTGCATCCTTATGGCTAACCCCCCCGGCGGTGGGGCTGGGCGGGGACTCCCCCCGGATATTCCCCTTCTGCTGCTCTTGCTTCTTCTGTTGCTGTTGCTTCTTCTGTTGCTGTTGCTTCTTCTGTTGCTGCTGCTTCTTCTCTCGCTGCACCACCACTCTGCAGGGGGTGACGAGCAAGTCGACGATTGGTCTAAACGTTATTACCACACTGCTCTCCCCCTTCTCCGCTAAGATAACTGTCCTCCTGAGTGTACTCTCATCAGCTACTATCCTCTTGGAGCACTGAATCGAAACCTTCACCTCCTTCTCCACGTCCTCTGCATTCCATATGCTTATGTATACCGAACAGGACTGATCGATTTGGTTTCTAAAATCGTAGCAATTGCTCAACATGTGTACAAGGGACACGGACTCTCCCAGGACGTCTTCCTCGTGCGTTATCTTTAGGCTCTCCCCGCCGTACGATGTTATCTCCGCAAAGTTGTGTCCGCGCTTTTGCAGGCCCATGTGGTAGTCCTCCTCGAGGTGCCGCGGCGGGGTAGCGGCGTTGGCAGCGCTCGTGTGATTGGCATCACTTGCGTGATTGGAATTACTCGCCTGGTTTGCGACACTTTCGGGATTCTGCTCTTCTCCATCCCCGTCACCCTCACCTCTACTCCAATCGGCAGTGGCACGCCCCCCCAAGAGGGTCTTCCTTGTCATGAAAAAGGAGTAGTTATTCCGCAACCGCTTCTTCCCGTCTAGCTTCCCCTCCAAGTGGACGAAGTGGGCCAGCTGCCCCTTGAGGCAGTGATTCTTTCCATACTGACAGAACCCCTTTTTCTCTTCCCACACCGTTGGGTATGCCGTGATTTTGTTGCACTCGATGCCTTTCTCGTCCACGTGATCCGCGCTCACGATGAGGCCATTCTCCAGCACCTCCTCGTCTGCAACGGGGGAGAGATGCGACGTGGAAGCGGTGTGAGCACCCTGTAGACGAAATTAGACAGACGCGGGGGCACCCCGCCAAGCGCGTCTACCCCCTCTCTGCCAATGTTCAAGGGGACACCAAAAAAAAAAAAAATAAAAAATAAACAAACAAACAAACAAACAAACCTGTGAAGGAGTCATCCAACACTACCTGCAAATGGAACAATCGAGTTGAGAATAAGAGGCCGGAGACAAAGCCACGTGGTGACGAGTGCTAACATCACGGGGTCTCCATTCAGCATGTCTACCCATTCGTGAAGGAGGCACCTCTAGTTGTTTTCACCTTTAGTCTTTTTCATCTTTATTTTTTTTTTCTTTCTTTTTTCTTTTTTTTTACCCTCCTTTTAAACACGTCGGAATCAAGGAAAAGGTAGTTCCCCTCAATGGAATCTCCCTGTGATGAAGAGGTTTGGTTTGTCCGTCAGTTTGAGAAAAACGTGTGGGAAGCGTTTACCTCTGCTTTGGTGTTAGCACCCCCGAGAGGCCACTTACTCGGTGCGTCCTCTCCGGGAGGAACTTCAGTCGCACATTGAATACCTCTAAACGAGGGGAAAAAGTGAACGTGCTGTTTTGCGGCGGCACGGGGAGGAGACATTCCTCTTTTGGATACACTTTACCGCTACGATGCGCCGCTTTTCGCTACACTTTACCACCACGCTACGCCTCTGTTCGCTACACTTTACCACCACGCTACGCCTCTGTTCGCTACACTTTGCTCTCCCTTTTTGCCTCCCTTCTCCGCACCGTCATCAATTTCATTGTTCGAGGGGTCCAGCACGTAGGTCTTTCTCTCCAGGGCCGACTTGTCCTGTGCAGGGAAGAGGGGACATGTAGTTTTTTTTTTCCTCTCTCGATAGGGTAGCTCCTCATTCGTGCTTCCTCCGATTTGCTGCTTCCTTCCCTCAGTATGACCTACATTTCTACTTAGAAAAAACTCGTCATTCAGATCTGCACAGGGAAAGGGAAAGAGAAAGGACATGGGAGGGGGGGTAACAAAGCCAAACAAGAGTGGTCAGTCCAGACATGAGTGGTCAGTCGAGACATAAGTCATCAGCCAGACATATGTCGTCAGCCCAGACATGAGTGGTCAGTCCAGACATGAGTGGTCAGTCGAGACATAAGTCATCAGCCAGACATATGTCGTCAGCCCAGACAAGTATGTGCCCCACTTGCTGCACTTACTGAATTCCTGCAACGTAACGTTAAGCGTGAAGGAGTTTAAACCCCTCTGGACGAAAAAGGCGTGGTACTTTCTTCTGCTCTTCTTTAAGCACTTTAGGGTAAGGAGGACTGTCTCCTCCCCGTCCGTCACTGAGCGGGTGGAGGGGAAGAGGAACAAGAAGGAAAGAAAGGGAGAAGACATATATGAAACTGCTGATTGCTAACTTCTGATTGCTAACTTCTGATTGCTAACTTCTGATTGGTAACTGCTAATTGCTAACTTCTGATTGCTGACTGCGAATTGTAAACTGCTATGTGCTATGACTGCTTCGCCGTCGAGCATACCCCGCCTGCCACAAAGGATCTTCTGCCTCCGGTACTTCAATCCCGAGTAGAGAGGGAAAACGGGGTGGGGACTGCAGTAGCAGCAGAAGCAGATTTCCCGACTCTCCTCATTCTCATAAAACTTTTTTTTCTCTTCACAAAAGTGCTTTAGATTTTTCCTCTTTATTTCCCTCCGCGTGTACGGGACAATTTGATCGAAGTATTTAATCGGGGGGTCCTTTGGGGGGGGCGGCGGTTAGCACGGTTAGGAAAGTCAGCACGGTTAGGACAGTCAGCATGTTCAGCACAGTCAGCACACTTAGCACGCTTAGCGGAGGGCATGGCGATGCTCATAAACGTCGCATCCCTTTGGTGGGCCCCTCTGCGTGATGGCCATTCCACACCCAACTCACGTTCACATATCTGAGGGGGTAAACGACGGATGTTTTTTGAATCTCCTCGATGTAGAGGAAGAAACTTCGGTAGGGAGACCCCGCCTCCCTGCGAACTATGTATCTTTGCTTCTGTGGGGAGGAGGGGAGAAGCGAGCGCCGCTGTGAAGTGATGGGCGAGAAGGTGACGCAGCGGAGAGGCATAAGACTTTTCACAAGAGTGAATTGCTTTGCACCGCGTTTTGTTCATCCGTTTTGTCTTTTTATTTGTTCGTTTTTGTTGCCCCGTTTGTTTTTTTTGTTTGTTTTTTTTTCTCTCTTTTTTTTCTTTTTTTTCTTCTCTTTTTTTTTTCTTTTTTCCTTGCGACATTGTTAAAATCGAGGGAGTAGGTGGTGGGTCCCCCCGGTGGCTCCCCATCGTCAGTCGTGTGGGACACTCCCAGGTGAAGAAGAAGGAAAAGGACAGCCGCATGCAGACCTGCTACCCCCATGTGCGCGGATCTTTCGCGAAGGTGGGTAGTTTACAGTTGCCTTTAAACGGGGCAAAGAAAACGTCCAACGCGGGGAGCGGACATAGAGGAAAGGCAGACAGGGTAGGATGACAGGGACAGGGCAGGATGACAGGGATAGGGCGAACTCCACAGAGGAGCCTTTAATAATCTTCTCCCTCACGGGATGGCTACCCATACACGTGCACATGTTTGGCAGGGAGAAAAAAAAGGCACTTTTGTCAACGGCGCGGGGTGTTTTTTTTTTTTTTTTTTTTTTTTTTTTTTTTTCCCCCTTTTCCGCCTTGCCTGTCTCGTAAGTTGCTTTTTTCCCCTTCCAATGTGTGCCCCTTAAAAAAGGGAGAGAATAAAAAAGCAGACCATCGGAGCACACATAGGGAAGTAGGACTAACAACATGGACACGCACCTGAACATATATGTTAGCATTCGCTCCGTCCGCATGCACAGTTCAGGTTCTTCTCATGGTGAATGCATTCGGAGGAGTCCTCTCACCGCTGTTGCTGCTGCTGCTGCTCCCCACCGCCACACACACCCCGTGAGAACAATTCGGAAGGCACACAGCTTCGTTTCATTTTACCTTAACGAGCAATACGTGTGTTACGACTGTTCTGTGGGTTAAAACGATTGGCAAGATGGTGAAGAGGGCGAAGGAGAGGATGAACTCAGAAGCGGTGTTTAGTTAGGGGAACACTGTGAGGAGACATGCCTGTATTCTCCGCTCAGAAGTCTCATTGGTCAAGTCTCCACCGTTTGGATTTCCGTGGTTATTGCCAGTTGGGTAGGGAAAAGGGGAAAAATAAAGAAAAAAAAAATGGGGAAGGGTCAAGCTAGATCTGCGACGTTGTCATTTCGCCTCCTTCGGTTAATGCTCCCTTTTTTATGTTGACTGATGCGGACGGGGTAGCAGTCGTGGCTGATGGGTGGGTCCCCGCGGCTGCGCCAACAGGAGCACCCCTCTATGTGTACGACTCCTTCTCTGTCTCTACACACACGTGTGTATCTGCTGACAGGAAAGGGGGGTGGGGAGGTGACCGGTCACTCCACCTCACCAGTTGTGTCCCCGCGTGATCGCTGCAAAGCGTACGAATGGACTTAGCCACGATGCCAATAGAATGCAATGCAAAGGAAAGCAGACCAAACCAGACCACACACCGAATAATTTGAGGAGCGCCAAGGAAATGCTTGCTTCCTTCTCCAGTTTACACCTCTCCTTTTTTCCTTTCCCGAAAGGACTAATCAGTTGAAGGGATGCCGACATGGGGGTGGAGCTGCCTTTTTTTTTTTTTTTTTTTTTTTTTTTTTTTGCTAAGCTATGCGCGGGGGTAGTAGCTCAGTGCAGTACAAATGTAACGATGAAACGGACTTAACAACAGGCCGGTAACGCCCCACAGGAGATAAAGAGAACGGGAAAAGAAAAAAAAAAATGACCAAGCTGAAGGATTAGCGGTGCGGTAGATGAGAATGGGGTTCTCCAGCGGAGTTATATTCTTCCTTCTCCCCTTTTTTTCCGCCCATTTTTCCCCCCCTTCTTTTTGTTCCCTTGCCCCAGTGTACCTTCCACCGATTGACTCCTGGCAGGTGTACCGGCTAGCATCACCGCGTGGAAAAGTGGAAACACCAAAAAGTTAACGTAGCTGGAAAAACAAAACAAAACAGGAGGAATGCCCCCGAACGGACGCATCCACTGAAAGAATTGCAATTAGCCCAGCACACCCTGCCGCGCATCCCTAGTGTGACCCATTTTTCCCACCTTCCCTGTGTGTCCTTCACCATTCCTGTATCCCCCTCCTCTTGAAAGAGAGAATCTCCACGGTAGACCATGAAAAGTAGTCTACAGAGGGTGCTACGCGCACGGACGCGTAGAGAAGGGGCCTGGCGTAACGTTTTAGGGGAGTCCTCCACCGGGCGCAATTTCTCCATCGGGGGGAACTTCTCCTCTTGGGAGAAGCGGTATGCAAAGCAGGGTACCCCCCTGATAGCCCACCCCTCCAGTGCTTGCTTTCCCATGGAGAGGAAGCACCTAACAAGGTATTGGGCAGAAAGCACGAAGAAGAAAATACACGACTCGAAGATTAACGAATTGAGAGAGCAGTTTCCAATCCTAAACGAATACGATGATAAGGATCTGACAATCTGGAGAGAAGCCTTCAACAAAATGGACAGAGATAACGACAACTTCATCTCTCATGCAGATCTGCAGAAAAGTGATTGGAGTCTGGAAAAATATAATCTATTTCAAAACTACGATATGGATCAGAATAACCTCATTGATTTTGGAGAGTTTATCCAAGCGGTCATCGATATCGACACGCAGTATTTTAAAAATTTCTTCCAGGGTTTTAGCAAAATAGACATCGAGTTGGAGTTCCAGAAATATGCCAGTAAGGGGGGGAAAGCGGTTCAGCGGCAGAAACTAATGCAAAGCCTCTAATCCTGAGCAGCTCAGTCAGAACAGCTAATGCGCCATCTATGTCTGCTTGCAGTTCCAATCTTCCCAATTGTCATCCTTTTTGTCCCCCTCCCCCCTCCACGCAGTCACCGAAAAGGAAGAGAACAAACAGGTCATCCCCCTGACGAAGCTCATGCAGATGCTTAGGGACAAAGAGTTCACGTGCGTCACACACACAGACTCACAGAAGCTACTCAACGCGATGGATTTTAACAAAGACGGCGCGCTCGACTTGGAAGATTTTCTGGCGGTGTGCAAAGAGGGAGAGAAAAAAAAATAAAAAAAGAACCAATAAACGAACTAAGGAACGAACCAACTAAATGCATGTCGCGTACCTGGTGCATCTAACAGTTCGCATGCAGCGCTAACGGCTATTTTGGTTGCCACCGTCTGGATCACGCCCACCGAAAATACTTTTTTATTTCCCCCCCCTTCAGTGGCTCGGCAAGAAGTAGTACCTCCATATTTGGCAAGATCAAAGAGGAAGAAACACACATATGTGTAGTTATCTTCCCTCATATCAGCACAGGTGAAGGAACTAATTTTCACAGAACGAAGTCAGTGCGAAGGGTATAAAAACAGTAGAATTCGTAGGATTTTTTTTTCTTTTACACAAATATGTTTCCTGTATGGACTTACCTTTCCCCATTTGCCATATGCCTATGCACCTCTAAATCACCAGTTTGCTTCTTTTTTTTTCGCCGCAGGTGAAGGGACGTAATTCAATAAAGCGTTAATTCTAAGCGCATTTCTGCTAGGTCATCCTCTGCAACTGTGTAGACATGAAATTTTTCTGGGCCATTCGTTTTTTTTAAGTACAGCAGGAAGGTAGTCCTGCTAGCCAACTTATTTCATTTGCCGTCCTCTTAAAAAAAAAAAAAAAAATTATGACCAGGTACAGTAGTAAAACGTTTTTTCCTACACCAAAATTAGTAGCTACCTGGAAAAAAAGTATTGCCGTTCAGGCAGTTCTGCACTGCTAGCCATTGCATGGAGGCAAAAAAATTGCATGTTCCACGTTCTGATAGGGTTACGCGTAACGAGCGTGTAGAAACTCCTCTTGTTAAAGGGACGGTGGCTGTCCAATCGGGCCGCTTTGTGGCTACGTGCACACGAAGTTGTAGGAATGCCCCCGCATCCGTCGAAATGGTTGCACGTGGGCAGGTAAATCAATTTGGTCCTTCTGCAGGGAAGCCCATTTGGTCCTCCAGCAGATAAATAAATTTGGCGTTTCTGCAGGGAAGCCCATTTGACCCTTCTGCAGGTATTTTTCTTTCTAACACCACTATTCGATAACTTACGCGGGTGTGTCCCCCAAAATGGATGCTTGGTGAGTATCTCACCCCCGTCCACTTGCTGGTATAGCATTTATGCACACCCATGTCATTTCCCAACCTTGCACAGACGTGAATTGCTTCCATTTGGAAACAACAGGCTTCCTCCTTCCTGGCAGCGCACACACCGTTTTCTGTCCCGTCTCTCGTTACTTCATAGAATTTTTAAATGTTTCTAAAGGGGAAAAAAAGTATGAACAAGTGGCAGAAAAAGAAAAAAAAATATGAACAGATCGCAGAAAAAGAAAAAAAAATATGAACAGCTCATAAAAAAAAAACAACAGCACTTACAGCAGTTGCAGCGGCATGTTTGCGTTTCAATTTGGCGTAGGATTTTTTTTTTTTTTTTTGTTAAGCTCGAAAAAGGAAAAGGCCTGAAAAACGCTTTCATAAATTTGTTTCTGTAGCAACTTTGTTTCCTGCACGTGCTTCCTCCCTATCGTTTTGTGTTCCCCTTTCTGTTGTTTTTAAGTTTCCACTTGTTGCGTCTTCTTCAGTTTCCATTTGTTGCGTTTTTTTACATTCCCGCTTGTTGCTTTTTTTTACGTTCCTACTTCTTCCCGTTTTTTAAGTTAAAGTTCCCATTTTTTGTCTTTTTTTAAGCCCCCGCCTGTTGCCACACAACTGCATCTTTCACCCTGTTGCAGCCTCTGTTCATTTCTGCGCAGTGCCTTCCCGCCTGAGTGGCACGCAAAATTGGACAGACGGGAACACATTCAGCCTTGCCCGCCTGGCTAAACTGCATAGTGTCCCCTTAGCCGCTTACCCAACTGTGCTTTGGTTCTATTTCTTTTTGTTTCTTTTTATTTCTTGTTATTTCTTTTTTTGTCCTTTTTATCTTTTTTGTCTTTTTTACCTTTTTTACCTTTTTTGGCCTCGTTTTTGTTTGTTTCCCATTTGGCTCTTTTTTTAAACCATTTAACTCACCAGTTAATCTCCCCCCACAGACATCCTCTTATTACGCCATCTTTTTCTGACCATCCTGTTTGTCCATTTTTAATTTCCATCGGTTGATTGTGCCTCTATCAGGTGAACGCATCCCTTGCACAACCGCTAATCGCGTGAAGAAGAGCGAAACAGACGAAGAAGAACGAATAGGGATTCTTCGGAGGACGCGCCTTTGTCGTTGTAGTCACGCCCCGCCGCCGTAGTTTTGCCACTTTGCCGGTTGTTCATTTGTTTATCTGATTATTTGTTTGATTGTTTTTTTTTTCTTTTTTCTTTCCTTTTCCTCTGCCTTATCTGCGCCTACTTCGTCACAATGAATTGCTTCTGTGCCGGCTGTTCTGAAAAGGGAGAAGTGAAGTTGGTCCCCGACCACAGGATGGAAATCGTAAGTGTTGCCTGGGCGCAGGCGCCGCAGCTTTGGGGGCGGCTCGCCTCCTTGGGCACATACGAAAAGGAGAGACACACCGACGAAATTGGGCGGCCTTTTGCGCGGCGTCACGCAAATGGATGAGTGCCCTCCGGCGACTCCACCCGCGCATCGCCAATACGGTGCACATCTCTGACGTGGTTCACATCCCTAACGTGGTTCACATCCCTAATGTGGCACGCTTTCCCCCCCGCATGCGCAGAAGGAGAAGCCCTCGATCCCCAAGAAGAAGAACACGCTAGTCAGCCCGAACACCATCCTCGAAATAGAGCCGGACAAAAACCTAAAAAAGCAGATCACCTTCAGACCCAAGGTGGACATCATGTATGACTCTGAGAAGTGTCAAGCCATCCTCGTGCTGGACATCCCAGGATTCAAAATTGAAGACATCGACGTCGAAATCGGAGAAGGAATGCTCACTGTCTCTGGACCCAGGTCACAGACGGAGTTATTCGAAACCTACGGAGATAACTTAATCTTGCATGCCAAGGAGAGGGAGGTGGGTTACTTTAAGAGGATCTTCAAACTTCCACACAACATCCTGGACGACACGGCGCAGGCCGTATACAAGAATGGTAAACGCTGCGAGGCGAAGCAAACGGAAAGCATGTCCTGAGTGACATGCGTGCAGTGGCAATGCTTAACGATGGACCTAAACCCTACCTCTCACCCCGACTGCATAACCCTAACCCCTGCTTCTTAACCCCACAGGAATCCTTGAAATAAAAATGGAGTGCAAACAATTCTCCTACATGCACAAAGTGGAAATACATGATGGTTAGGATGGACATGGGAAAGAAGAAAAAAAAAAAAAAGAAAAAAAAGAAAAAAAAAGTCAACTTGGCTGACACGTCAAAACGGATAAGCGCGTAAAGCACTCCCCAGACGAAGCACAGAGCAGAAGAAGAGAGGGGAAAACGCGCTGCGTTCACCCAATGGAGGTTGCACGATTGCGAAGTCGCGACAGTGAAGTGGAGTTGTTCTTTTTTGTGTATGAGTTAGACTCACCCGAATGGTTGTTCCTGCTTTTTAGCTTCTTTTTTTTTTTTTTTTTTTTTTTTTTTTACATACACCACTTTGTCGTGATGAAGAGTTCCCACTGCTCTGCCAAACGTATGAGCACAACGCGGTGGAGCGAGTACCTGATCGGATGCCCCATATACACACCCATTTGTCCTGTTGTTTAGCTTTTTTTTTTTTTTTCCGCTTCGTCTGCCTCTCCCTCTTCCTCTTTTTTTTTGCTTTTTCGTAAATATAGACTAAATTGAAAAGGAGACATGCACGCACATCCCTTTCGTCACGTTAGACAATTTTGTTTAGCAATTATTCAATGTTTGCTCGAAAGGGTAATTCAAAAAAGAGATAAA